GCAACAGTAATCTGGCAGGGTATCGAATGAAACCATTCGGCTGAGGTCAAAAAGATCTGTCAGCCTAGTCGACTTGTTCCCTACGAAGAGACAAGAGATCGTTAGAAAGCAAAGCCAAAAAGAAAAGAAAAATTCACCAAGTATAGTAAAGGGAAAACCTACTCAGCTCCCTAAAGTGGCAAATGCCATCATAATGAAAAAAGAAAAACTTGGTCTCGTATGCCCCGACGTTGCTAGGGTAATTGTAAATGCCTCCCTCGATCGTGGATTGCCTCGAGAGTTAGTAAGAATCTTTGTCCTTTCTCTTCTTTAAATAGTATGAGCAAGTGAGCTCCAGCGTAGTCAATTGGCTGAGGCCATACTCGGTGCATACGATATACATAGCCACGACTATCATATACACATTAGGCGTCAGTTGTAAAGGTGTAACCTCGAAGTGATTGAGGATTGACTTAATAAAGGGATGGAAGGGAATCAGTGCTCCGCACTTGAATATAGCTTTGGAGATCGCAGCCATTCCCTTTGGCAGATTGCGAGCTGTATGCCTTTGGTACCGGTAGACATCCATGCTAATTACGTATTGGTCTACTGCCTCCTGTATTTCGTCTCGAGTAGCTACAGACAGAATCTCTTGCATAGGACCCACTGGGGCGTCCTACGCCTGTGAGCTTGTCCCCTCATCCGATCAGGTCGCTATAGGGTCCATGTCGTCTACGGTCTGAAAAAGGGGGACACATGGAGATTAATCAGTCTTCATACAAATTTTTGTATGATGATATGGAAGGACAACCCTAAAAACCCTTGGGGACCACCTCCAATGGTTTGCATCCTAAAAACCTATTCCTTATAGAAACCCGCCATTATCGATTGATTAACTATACTCGAAACAGAAAAAAGAAAAGCAATGGAAGGACCTTCCTTACCTTTTTCTTTTGGCTGTGGGGGTCGAACTTCTTACTGTAAACAGAAAATGTGCACCAACTTAAAAAATTGAAAGTCTGGTCTCACGAGAGCTCCTTGCTTTTTTCTGAAAATGTAAGTGTTGTGACATTGTTTAAAGAGAACCTGGGGTCTTATAGTGGAGGAAACAGCGATTGGAATTCCTGAAGTTGAGCGACGTTTGGACAGAATGCATTTCTGGCCATTGATTGCGACCATGTGTCATTAATCAGCGAGAAAGAGTAACCGCCACGCTTAAAGAAATTCAATCGTCGCGTCTCTCCGTTGAAACAATCAAGCAACGGCTTAATTCTCTCCTCCACATTAAATGCGCTCTCATCCGCATTTAATGCCCTGATAAGGAATGTCATTTCAACATGACTTGCATTTAATGCGCATGGCTGACATTTATTGTGCACAGGACACGTTTGTCAGAATAAAAGACACTTCATTAATGGATTAGCTGTCAAGCGCAACAGATAAACATCTGAAGAGGTCGTTAAAATAGAACACTCTTCATTGCATGTTTGTTGCGGAGATCTGTGATTCCTTGCCTCCAGCAAAAATATGCTAAGTATAATCAGGTCGCTGACCTCGATTAAGATGAGAGGCACATCGATATGGTACTGAGTAGGGTCTAATCTGTTAGGAAACGACCCGGTTGCGCAGCGGAAAAACAAAAAAATTACAACCATGGATCGTTCCTTAGAACCCAAAATCAGGGCATAGAAAATTACAGTTTATATTTTATAAGAATCTGCAGAAAAATAAATCCAAAGGTTTAGATTCATACCCACGTTGGAGGCTCCACCAATATTGTCTTTGAACGTGTTTGCTACCGATCCAAGTATAGGATCGAACCAAGAGGTCCACACGAAGACAACCACCAAGAACCAAGGAGGGATTTGCTAGATCCTCCTTGGCCTTAAGAAATCAAGAAGAACAAAAGAAAAGTTTGATTTTCAATCAAACAGTGAAAGTGGCGTGGGAGAGTGTATGGGGTGTTGTGTTTTCTTTTGTTTTTCAAAAAGGCAAAATGAATTAATTTTAAAACACACAAACACTATTCTTTTTATAGGCAAACCAAGTTGCCCTATTCCCACATGGAATGGGCTTGGGCTCCAACCCAAACAGCCCATGTTGCCAAACACTCCCAATTAGATATTTTTTTTTTTATTTAATTCATCATTATTTCAATTAAAATCAATTAATATTTAATTAACATTTAACAATAATGATGATTCAATTAAATATGTGCGAACACACATTTAACCGTAATTTCACTTATTTAATTTTTTAACAAATTAAATAAAAGGCTACGACCTCAGCAAATTTAATTGCACTGTGAAATTACCAAAATACCCTTTCGCCTAAAAAGACGAAAACGCCCTTCTTTCTTCTTGGCTCTTAAATTATCTTCTATGTGTGTGACCCATAGGCTCCTCATCATACCGGTAGTGTATAGTATCGCGATTAACACCAATTAATCGTCTCACTAATACACAGACCAAGATTGGCCCCTAGCAAGGCATCATGGCCACCCGATAGATTCGGATTCAGCAAAGTAGCTACCTGTCAACGATATGGTTACCGTACAATTCGATCCTTTCATCATACGTTATCTCGACGAGACGAAGGCATAGAAATAGTGTCAACCTTCGGTTACTCTCGATATTATTTATTCAGTTTCTGGACCAATGACCCGTATTATAAACTGGATAGAGCAACAACTCAATCCCACTGTGGCCACAGTTTTAGTGTCATTGCCATATACTGAATTGCGCCGTGAGATAACTTTCTCCCGTACCCGGGAGTGATAAATCCTCTGTCAATCCACCATAGTCTTGATACACTCCTTGATGCAGCCAATCACCACCGTATTGACAGCTCTGAAAAGAACTGCGTTAGGCTAGTGTCAAACTACACCAATCGGTGCACAAGGCGCTCCGGTGATCTCAAGTCTAAGGATCACATGCACCACCATTCGTTAGAGGATTTGTTCCATAGACACTGGGGTTACCATCCATATGGAATCCTCTGGTGGGTCAGTCCAGTGAACTTGCTGTGGTGTAATCGCCTACAACAAACACCCATGTGTTGCACCAGGTTGTCACCAAACAACCTTGACAAGTGAGATCAGTCACTGCCTTTCGACAGGGTCGTTCAACACTATGATAGCCTTACCGTATTATCTGTGCCCTTAGTTCAGAATAATACTGGGGCTACGGACGTTTCTAGAATGGCCACCATATGTGTTCATAGGGTTCTCACTATCAAGATTTGAAACACTTGATACCCTCGTCACGGTTCTACCATTCTAAGGACATATATCAATACATATTGCAATAATAATGATTTACGCGATATAGAATAAAATGCCTTTTATTATTGATTAATGAACATTATTACAAAGAGTCAATTGTACAATAATTGATTGGCTCTAGGGCATCTACTCTAACATAATCCAGGTTGCCAACTTTGCGGAAGAAGATCATCTCAGGTCGTTGTAGAAAAATGTTCTGCAACCTCCTTGTAGCCAGGTCGGCTCGACCAGCATCATTTGGACATCAATCATGACATAATTATGCAGTTACCAAGGTTCGATCCTTAAACTTTAAAAACCGAGGGGCTTCTGTTATGCCTGAAAAGGTAGGGCTGACGTAGAGTCTCGTCAGTAAAGGATGATTAGGGCTCAAAGAGGTTCTGTGTCGTCCAAGTGCGGCCACGTCGCGCCTAGCGCAAGTGGTATGGCGCTTGTCAGTACAGTAGGTGAGTGCCAGTCCAGCTAGCGGCTAGAGATTGCCCACGTGTCAAAACCTTACTTTAGTCGAGAAAATCCCTCGGGCAGGTACTATAAATGGAGGACTTCCCTCTCATTTTAGGGGATTAGCCAACTTTATGTTGAAATAGCTCCCTCTCTCTCTCCCTCTCTCTCCCTCTCTCTCTTGTATTCTCATTCCACACTGTAACTCAGCTCGCTGAACGCAACCTGATCTCTCTCTTTTTAATACAATAACAGTGGACATAAGATTCGCCTTTGAGCATCCGAACCACTTTAAATATTGCTCCTTACCCTTAATCTAATTTGATCTTTTTATATCACGTGTGACTTCTAAACCTTTCTAGCATTTCATACATACGAATAGTTGGTGACAAAATCGAGCATCAACAAATTAAAACTAATACACCTCACAAATCTTAATCATAGTAACTTAACCACTATGCAACCGATTATTATATTCTGATAAATATTGTATTTCAAATCATGGCAGTGCATAAAATTTGTTTCCACATGGTTGTCTCTAGTCTTTGGAGTAACATTCTTGCTTTTATCTCCAGCGGAAAAATTGGTACATACTCCAATAAACTTGGTAGATTGAAAGCATGAATATAATTAAATAACAAAATATACATTAGGGTGCCAACTAAATAACTAATTAAAGATTCATCCGTGCAGGTGCACAACTGTCAACACTCTCCAATTAATGTCACATGTCCATATTTGACATTATATTACGAAATCGTCATTATTATACTTTTATCTAGTGTACTTCTTTAGTCTATCGTTACTTTCGTCCAAACATATAGTTGCATATGTAGAAAGAACCACAAAATAAAAAAACTTTCCTTAGTATATTGTGAGACAAAATATAAAATTACCGTTCTTGCCAATATTTAATAAAGAATCATACTTAATTTAATAATTTATGCCCTACCATTTCTTGTAAGCAATTTTGCATGTAATAATATTTGATAAAGAAATACTTTTATATATGGCTTAAAAGTAAAATGAGGATAAAGGTTATTGTTATAAACACGTACACGTAATCATTAAGTAAAAAGAAGAAATGAGGGAGATGAGTTTGGGGGAAAGTGGCTGCAGCTTTGATCTTCAGTACTTCTAATATAAGAACAGTGGGTATAAAATAACAATGCTTAATGGACGTATCTCATTTTCCATTCATTTACATAGGAAATGGGAGTTTGGTTGTTTTTAAGAATTCTGATTATTGAGTTTGAATATTTAAAGGCAAAAACAAAAATCCTATGAATCATATGAGTTCAGAGCCAAGTAATGTTTTCAATACCTTTAGGTAAATTAAAGGCTCAAATTACAAAACAACACAAAGAATACATGGTTTAATAGTTAAAACAGAATCCGAAGAGGCCAAATGAAAATGAATTAATCAAAGAAACATTCAAGCAAATTACAAACGTTGACATAATATAGCAGAAGTCACACATATCTTCATTCCTTATCACAAGTCGAATTTTCTGAATTTTGTTTCTGATGGTAATCTGTTTCAAATGACACGCTTCTTTGGTATTACCTTCAAGGGTGTAAGCTTCCGGACAGATAATCCCATCCTCTCACTCATGTCTATGGTCTCTGGACTAATATTGCTGCCCAGCTCCCATTCAAAGGATTGAACTAGAGAGGCTATAGTCAGGTGAAGTACTCGATCAGCTAATGACATCCCAACGCAAATTCTTCTCCCTGATCCAAATGGAATTAACTCAAAATTCTGTCCCTTGTAGTCTATGTTTGATCCAAGAAACCTCTCGGGCTTGAAACACAAGGGATCTGCCCAACATTCGGGATCTCTTCCTATGGCCCACGCATTCACGAAAATTTGGGTATCTTTTGGTATATGATATCCATTGAATTCAGTTTGTTGCATCGAATTTCTCGGAAGGAGCAACGGAATGGGGGGGTGCAATCTTAGTGTCTCCTTCACCACAGCCTTCAAATATGGAAGTTCACTCGTATCTGTCTCTTCAACCTTCCTGTTTCGTCCAACCACTTGATCAAGCTCCTCCTTAATCTTTCTCATAGACTCAGGATTGCGCAGTAGCTCTGTCATAGCCCATTCGAGCGAGCTGCTTGTAGTCTCCGATCCCGCAAAAAACATTTCCTGCAAAAATATTTAATGTAAGTAAGATTGAATTTAAATACAATTAGTTAAATGTTTACTTACCAGTATGATTATGATGACATTCTGATTTGAGATCCTGTCAGGCCCTTCTTTTCCACCATCACGTTCATACTCTAACACTGCGTCCAGGAAGTCCTTCATCCTCTTTTCTTTCGTCATCTTATTTTTCTCAATTGTCCTCTCTTTCACCAACCCGGCAATTATCTTCATGGCTCGTCCCATGTCGCGGTCCATGCCCTTTTTGATTCCCTGAGGATCCAACCTTTGCAGGAATGGCAAGAAGTCTGCAAGATTTGGCGCCCCAGCCCACACCATTACCTTGCTCATGGCAGCGAAGAACTCCTCCCCTTCTTTGGAGTGTGAGTTTAGGAGATCCCGTGACAACGTAAGGTTGCCTACTATGTTGAAAGCCATAACGAAGAGGTAATGAACCAAATTCACCTCCCCTAATTCTCCCCTTGCTTGTGCAGCCGCAACATCATCCTCAATAAACTGTATCATATTGTCGATGCACTTGCGCCGAACGTGAGTAGTCTCATTGATTCTCTTGTTGACCAAGAGCTCCATCGAACAAATACGTCGAAGTATGCGCCAGTAAACGCCATATTGGCCAATTGCAAGTGATCCCTGATTGTAGTTATGAGCTGTTAATGCAATCGGACACTTGCGGTCACAAAAGATATGGTCGTGATTTTTGAAGAACTCTGTGGCAGCCTTTGCAGATTGTATTGCCAAAGTGTTGACGGATCCTAGCTTTAACCGAAGTATAGGTCCATATTTTGGTATGAGGTTGTAAAGGGTTTGGTGTGGAATTGTGCCAAGATCAAATATGTTCCCGACGATGGGCAAACCTGGAGGCCCTGGTGGTTTCCGTTTAGCATGTTTAGACTCTTTTCCTCTCGGTAGAAGAATCAAAGCTACCAAGAAGAAAATAGTACTAGACCAAACAACCCAACTGAAGCTATACTCCATCTTTCCTTTAATTTGTGCTTCAGATTTTGTTTTCCGAAACCTTATCTGCTACTCGCAATTTGTGCCTGAGATTTTGTTTTCCGAAACCTTATCTGCTACTCGCTTAAATATCATTTCTCATCTTCAGAAAATCAGGTGGCTTTCAACTAATATTTTCTATGATATTTTCGCTGAGAGAATAATAATATTAAATTAAAATTAAAAATAATGCTATGAGGTAATGTTTGGGGACCGGGACAAGTCCAGAATTAGACAATTTTAAAGGCTGAATCATTTTCCCATCCGGAGTTTGGTGAATATACATTTTCTCACCACGATCTTTTACAAAAAATATTGTCTCACCCATGGTTAAAATTCGATAATGAAATCTATTATCTTACGGTGGTCTAATCATGAAAAGACTATAATACCCTTTATCTGTCATTGAAGCCGAATAAAATTCTCACCCAAACTTTATTAAATGTATTTTCCACCCTTAGTTTGGTTTACATTAATTTTAGGGTTAAATTAAATAAAATAATTTAGAAAAAAAAATGTCTTCAACAACTGGAAATCTGGTCAGGTGTGATTCTAGCCAATTCACACCAAGCCTACAATAGCACCGAGCCAAGTGCGATTTCGACAACCAGTGCACCCTTAGACCATTAGCACAAAAAACAAAAATCTCCAAACTAAACATTACATGGGTGTGTTTGTTTTAATATTTCTATCATATCCTATTCATATCTTACTCAAAATATATATTTGTTTCCCTATTCTAAAAATCCAATTATATTCTATTCAGCTATTTTTAAACCCCTTAGGTTTGTTAATTTAACTAAACACCTCAACAAAAAAAAAGTTTAGAAATTGACAAAAACACCCCTTCCCACCCACATTTTCCAGATTCCTGCCACCACCGCCAGAAGGTAGCCGAAATCTAGCATAATGGACACCACTAGCTGGATTTGGTCGGTAGTGTACCAATCTAGTATTTTCCAGTCAGATCCACGGTGGATCTAGTCGGAAAAGACCAAATTTGGCCGTTGACGACCAGATCTTTGGCCACATATGGTCTTCAACGATGGCCAAGATATGACCGTTGTTGATTGTTAACAACGGATATATCTTTAGTCGTCATTGACAACCAGATCAAACCGTAGTTCTAACCTTTTCCAGCCAAATCCATGGTGGATCTAGCCGAAAAAGACCATATTGGTGCATGACCGACTGGATCCATTACGGCAGATTCTGGTCACCTTCTGACAGTGGTGGCCGGAATATGGCAAATGTGGGTAGGTGAGGGTGTTTTTATCAATTTTTAAACTTTTTATTGTAGGGGGTGTTTAGCTAAATTAACAAACCTAAGGAGTACTTTTGTTAATTTTCAAATCTTACCTTATAATAACAACTCAACTCAACTTTTTCAAAAATTTTACCCAAAATAATAAAACAAACACAGCCTATATTAACCCAACACAAGCAACCAATGCGCCCTAAACAACCATCAAATTCAACTTGAAAATGAACAAATCCATGAAAACATTAAACAAATAGTGAGAGAGGGAAAACAAGAAAGAAGAGAAAGAAGAAAATAAATTAGAGATGGAGGCGGAGTGCTAGGGTTGCTGGGAGTTGTTAGATTTTGGGGCTGTTGGAGTTGGGTCATTGGGGATGAGGGAAAGTGACCAGCAAGTATAAAAGAAAATTGAGGGTGGGGGATTTTGGGGCAGTGGGGTGGGGAAGAAAGATAAAAGGGATTAGGGAATTTTTTCTATTTCTTAAAAATTATAATTGTTAATAGAGGGTAACTGATTTTTAATAGAAATAAAAAATAAGAGTTTAAATAGCTAATTTCCAAATTAGTAAAGGTAATTGTTATCTATTTGTATTTTAAGGTGAAGTGACATTGACACTATAATAACATTTGTGTGGACTGACAAAAATATCCTTTTATCATTAAAATTAACGTCTGAACTTTAATGATGGGTTAAAAAGATATTTTTTTTCAGAGATTGTGGGTGAGAAAATGTACATTCGTCAAACATTGGGTAAGAAGATTTCATTCGCTCCGATTTTAAATGGTTTTTGTCGTGGGCTTATGTTTGGTAGATTTTCAAAGATTAGACTAGTGGTCCCTAGTTTTGAATAGAAGTGTTCTAAAAATCAGACCGAACCGGTTCGATCGCAAACCGACATCATTTTCAATCCGGTGTCCTCTGAAAACTGGTATTTTTAATCACATCAGATTAAGCCGCAATTGGACCTTCAGAATAGTGCCGAATCGGGTCCAATTGTGACTCAATCCTATCGGATTCCGGCATCGTTCGAGGGAGATGACGCCACCATAAGACTTGACAACATCTCCATGACAAAATCCATCCATTTTCAATGGCCACCGTCCAACCTTTCGTCGCTCACCGTCCACAAATCGTTCATGCAACCATCGACCTTATTTCTTGATTCCGGCAAATTCTGACGCCGTTATAACTCCTTGACATCACCATAAGATTCACCAACACCTCTACATCAAAAGCCCCATCATTCCAAACTTCGATTGGCTGTTGATCGCCGTCCACCATTGTTCACACAATCTTCGACCTTCCTTCTTGATTCCAAAAAATTTCGGCCCCGATAGAACTCCTTAACACGACCATAACATTCTCCAACACCTATGCATCAAAAGCCTTATGATTCCAAACTTCGATTAGTCGTCGATCGTCACTGCTGCCACTACTCACCAGTCTCTTCGAGCGATAGGGGTGTTTTAGATAGATTTCAAACCTTAAGGGAGTCATGAAAATTATTTAGGGTTGTTTTTTATGAATTTCAAACATTTAGGGACTAAAATTTTTTTATAGAATACGATCCAACCGACCGATTCAACCGGTAAAACCGATCAAACCGAACCCTTGATGGGTTAAGGTCAGGTCCGGTTTTCGAAACATTACTGAATAGGGTAAATAATTGACTATTATGCTATAATTGACTTGTGATTGGAGTGAAAACCTCTAAACTTTGACTACTATAGCTATAATTGACTTAGCATCGTTGTCATTTATTTTTTTCAGATATTTTAAGAAAAATAAGATGTATTCTCATTTTATTTAAATAATAAAAGCTAAAATATTTTTTATTTAATTATAATTAACTATATATATAATTTTAAACAAATTAATATTTACAAAAAAAAAAATGAAAACTTATAAAATATATTCATAGTTTAGTCCAATGCTACACCAAACAAGTGATAGTATTATAAATAGTAAAATCTAGTCTAGTTTAATCTCATAGAATCCTAATTCTAAAACTAATCTAATTCTCTGTTGTTCCGTGTGACATCACTCTGACTATCTTTGATAGTTGTGAACTGTCCAAATCAGTAGATCATCGGACGTCGGTCTTGTACATGTCGACAATGATGTCAGCTTGTGAAAAAATGTTATAGGGTCGGTGACATTGACCAGCCACTGACCATTTTCCAAATTTTAAAATTTTAAACTTTTATTTAAATAGAAAATAATATTTTTAGTTTATTAAATAAAATAAATGATTATAATAGTTTTTTTATAATATTTAATTTCAATTTAAATATTTTGTTAAAATAATTTTTAATTATTATTTTTGTCTAATTAATATTTAATGGATTTAATTGTGTCATAAATTATACATATGTAATAATTTAAACTTTAGTATATATTCGCCCAAAAACCATAATTTTATCTATTCCATTACTATACATCATTACAAGTAAGCAATATAATCATTTTGTCCCTTCACACATTCCTATTCTCATTCCCATCCCCATTCCCATTACCATCCTTATGCGATACACGAAGTAAGCACGTACCTCAAAGTAATATGGGCATCTTTAATGGGACACCAAATTGGTGTAAAACACCAAAATTGTATCCAAATTTTGCTCCAATCAAACACTAAAAGCCACACCTAATTGATGTGGATGAATAGTGTCACACCGAATTTGGTTTGATATTATTTATCCACACCAATTTGGTGTGATACTATTCATCCATACCAAAACATATTTTATTTCCTTATTTTTGTTATTTAATTTTTGAATTTGTATTTATGTTTATTGGATTATTATTTATATTAATATTTACAATAATAAATTTATAATAATTATATAATTCAAAAAATGAAGAAAAATTATAAACAAAACTTCATTACAATGCAAATATTAAACTTCAATAACTCAAAATAAATTAACACTAATTTAAAGTTATTATTAGTAGGATAATTTTCAAAGTTATTATTAGTAGTTAGTTAATTAATAAAATATATTATTCACAATATTTAATTAATATATACAAAAATAATTAGTAAAATAAATTAATTGTTGAGACTGAATAGTTGAAAGAGAATATTCTAAAGAATATTATTTTTGGTGTAATACTTGGTGTAATGGATTGAAGATGCAACAGTAAAACAATAATGTTAGATTCACAACTCAATCTCACAATCTTCTCTCAAAACCCCCCGACGTGACAGTTAGTCATTGGTTAGCTCATAAATTGGTAAGCGAAACCCATTTTGTGCTCATAAATGGGTAAGCGAAACCCATTTTGTGAGCTGACCAATAACAAGCTACCACGTTAGAGGTTGTGAGAGAAGATTATGAGATTGAGTTGTAGACTTCACAATATTACTCATAGTAAAATGGTGTGAAAGTTGCACTAACTTGGTGTTTGTAATTGGAAATGGTCTTAGTAACACCCATCATAGTAGTCAAATAGTCAAAATCATTGATCTAAAAAACCATTAATTACACACCAATTTGTTATTTTTAAATTTAAAATTGTTAGAACAAGAGCGTTTTCTTACAAATATTATTCTTTTCATAAATTATTACAATTAAAAAAATTAATAATAAGGTTCTTCCTCTCTCCTTAATTCACTACAAATAGTACTTTTCAAAATCAAAAGAATAAGATTGCACATACAAAAGTTTGTATATGAAATCTTGTATTAAAAATGGAATGCATATTACAAAATAAATGAGAAAAAGTGAAAATAAAAAGTCAATTCTGAAAGTTTGAAGAATTGTATTTTCAATTCATTGATTAATTTAGTAAGACTTACAAACTTTATGTAGAGAGAATACAATCTAAGGAATCTTCTAATTATATCCATTATAA